CTGTGTGTGTCTGTGTGTCCGTGCGGGATCGGCCCTTGTCTGTGTGTCCGTGTGGGATCGGCCCCTGTCTGTGTGTGTCTGTATGTCTGTCTGAGATCGGTCCCTGTCTCTTTGTCTGTGTGTCTGTCTGTGAGGCCGGCCCGTGTCCGTGTGGGATCGGCCCGTTCCGCTTCCGGGCCAGGGGCCGGCCCGGGCGGGGCCGCGGCGCTTCCGCCCGTGAGCAGCGGTGAGGAGGGAACGGGGCCGCTGGAGGGATCGGGGCTCACGGAAGGGACTTCTCAGGGCCGGCCCGTTCCCCGGTGCGGGGAGTGCGGCGGGGCCGGGGCTGCCCGTGTTGGGGGCGCGGGGCCGGGAGGGCTGTGCTGGGAATGCCCGGGATTCCCGTCACCTCCCAGGGCCGCGCAGGGCCCGGCTGTGCTGGGAATGCCCGGGGCTCCCCTCACCTCCCGGGACCGAGCAGGGCCCAGCTGTGCTGGGAATGCCCGCGGTTCCCGCGGCGTTCCCGGTGTCGGTCTGGCGGCCCCGGGCGCTCCGAGGGCCGTGTTGGCGAATTGGCCTCTCGGGTTGTGTTGGCCCCGCTGTGCAGGGCCCGGGGCGGTCCCGGCTGTGCGGGACAGGGTTCTCTTAATTGTTGTGTGTTTGTTTGTTCTCAGTGAGAGCGAGGACACCGCCGGTGCAGGGCCGTGGATGAGCCGGTGAAACCATGGCATACCAGCTGTACAGGAACACCACGCTGGGCAACAGCCTCCAGGAGAGCCTGGACGAGCTCATACAGGTGTGTGGGATGGGGATCAGCTCAGGAGAGCCTGGACGAGCTCACACAGGTGTGTGGGATGGGGATCAGCTCAATACAAACGGGGGTTAGTCATTAAAATGGCTCTGTAGTTGCTGTAAATTGGGGCATTTATAGCCAAGGTTTGGAAAACTTACTGATTGAAATCAAAAGCCTTTTGTCCTCCATTCACTTGAGGTGTATTTTTCTTTACATCTTGGATGAAGAAGAATGGCTTATGTAAATGGCATGATCTCCTGTTGTGTGGCCCAGTAAATGAACAGCCAGATTAAGCTGGAACATTGTAATCAATTTACGGCACTTCTGCTTATTTCCAGTGAATATTTATTAGAAGAAATCTTCGTGTAGCACAAAAAATCATCATAGCACATCATCTCTTAGAATTGAAATACAGGGAAGGAAATAAACACGGGAATGTCATGTTTTTGAAAATTGTTCCTCTAGAGATCTGCTTCATGTGAACTTCATAACTTTGTTTTGATGTTTTTAACTTTTACTGCATGTTTGAGTTTGTTTTGAAACAACTCAAAACTTTTTCTTTTTTTTTTTTTTTGAAACTACTTTAGTCTCAGCAAATCACACCTCAGTTGGCCCTTCAGGTGCTACTCCAGTTTGATAAAGCTATAAATTCAGCTCTGGCACAACGAGTCAGGAACAGAGTGAATTTCAGGGTAAGACAACCATGTATACAAGTTCCTCCTGAGATACAGTAACTAAGTGTTGATGCAGAATGTCATTAAAAGCTGTGTCCTCCTAGCAAAAACTTCAGCAGGTCCATTTGGACGCTGAAATAATGACTATTTACATGTGTATTCCCCATGCAGTTGTGCATCCCCTTATTCTGCCAGGGGTCTTTTGAACAAATGCAAAAAGCAGAAATAGGTTTGGTGGGTGGATGAAAACAGGGAAGAGGGCAATGCTTTGATGGACAGCATTGCCACCCTCAGTGTCTTGCAGATGAGGGGGGAGACTTTGCTTCTTTTAGCTGTACTTAGGAAAAATGGGATGAGGACAGATTTTCAGCCACATCTGTAACTTGAAGAGAGTTTTAGATCCACCTTTTCACTGGATCATTTTGTAGCTCTTTTCTGTAGGTATCATAGAAAAACAAGTTTGAGGGTTTTTCCCAGTCAGCTGCCCTAATTAATATGAAATAGCAGCAAGTTGTTAAATGTCAGCTTGAAGGTAATTCTGAGGAAAAAAAACAACACAAAAACCAGCTTCCTGTTAACTTCCTCTGTAGTCTGTGTAGAACACGTTAATGAAGTGAGCTCTTAAGATGTTAAATTTTTAAGCAATATGGATATGTTAAAAGTAGCATAATTTCTTTTCTCTGACACATTTCACTTGTTTTGTGTATGTAACGTGTATGGAAAACTGTTCTGATTGTGTTTAGTGGATAAACTAAACGTTAATTGGAGCTTAAGTTCAAGGGCATCAGTTTAAACTGTGCGAAGGTGAAAGCCAAAATGTTCACATATTGACATCCTCAATAAACATCAAACATGAGTGAACCCCTTTATGTCTCATAGGGCAGTTTTGTCATGATTTATCTAAACTAGTGCTTTATTTCAACAACTGCAGAATTCACATCTTGTTAAAATCGCTGCTGTAAGTTATTTTTCTTATGGCCCAGTGTTTTAAGAAATCTCTTTGATACTGATCCTTTATGCACATTAGAAAAGTTGTAAAACTTCTTGGCCTCCCTGTGCAGCTTCCCCTTGGGTAGACTGTCGTGGTCTTGAAAAGTTCAGCCACTGGAGGGCATTTAAGCTGCAGTTTCCCTCAGAATTGTTGTCTGCATTCAGGTTCACTGGGGGCTTTATGACAAATCTAGTTCTAGAAGGGACATAATTTAGTAGATACTTAATATATTTTCTGTTGCTTTTGGGGTGTGTCCTACAGAAAATGTCTCTTGTCTTTTTAAGGGGTCTCTGAATACATACAGGTTCTGTGACAACGTGTGGACATTTGTACTGAATGATGTCGAATTTAGGGAGGTCACTGAACTTGTGAAAGTGGATAAAGTGAAAATTGTAGCATGTGATGGAAAAAGTAAGTATGGAATATGATATAAATAAGCTGAGACACGAGACTTGATCATTTATAGAAAGCTTTGGCCAAATGTCTGATTGATTGTAGAGCTCTGCACTCCCTTTTACATGGGATGAGAGAGGAAACAAAAGCAAGTTAAATGCTTCCCAGAGGTAGGGCTGTGTTGGAGCCTGCTGTGCACCTCAGTGGGAAGCATATACTAGAGCAATTGGAAAGTCAGTAGTGGGACTTTTTGTGTGATGATTTTTCTACTGTTAACCTCTTTGTTAGGATAGCACCATGCTTTATTAAATCCAGAGAGTGCTTCAACAATCTGAGCAAGGAGTTGTCTGAGAAAACTGTCAAGCAATCCTTTGCTGAATTTGATAGTAGGAGACACAAGCACATGAAAAGCTTATGCCAGCATTTGCAAATCGTGTTTTTAAGACTTATATATTGTCTAACAGGCCACTGTATGTACATTGCTTGCAAAAGTTTACATTCCATATCTGCTTGACTGGATTACTGTTGTCAGTGTTCCTTGAAATTCTTTACTGGAAAAAGTAATTTAGTGACTTTTGTGGAAGGATGGTTTATAACTTTTAAAACCATTAATGTGGCAGAATATTGCTAAAGATGTGTGAAATGGTGCCACTTGTTTTGTCCTTGGGGAGTGATGCTAAAAGGAAGAACTGAGAATGGGAAAAACTTTATTTAAATACCCCACAGACCTCTGAAACAGGTTCTTCATAGCTTCCTGATTCTGGCATGATTACAATAGTCACTTCAAGTTGTAGTTCTAAAGAGCTGACAGAATTTATTGTTTTCTCAACTTCTGGTCTCAGCCAAGCATAAAATCCTACCTTTTTTTTTTGTGTGTGTACTTATAGCTAGTGGAGGAAACCTTGCTTTCCAAGTATTAATTCTGCTCACTCTTGATAAAGTGTGCAGATAAGATTTAAAGAACTGGCTGACTAAAGGTTGCTATTAACATTACAGGATTTTTTTTCCCACGAGAGGTTGTCCTGCTGAAGGAACACAGTAAACACTGCCTTGTCATTCTCCATTTTGGAGTGACATACCTTTTCCATAGCTCTAAAAACAGTATATTATCAGAAGTTGCACTGGTGTTAATTGGTGGTTCTGACAAAAGCTCAGAACAGAGAGTTGCTCTCAGTTGGTTTATGAAGATCATGCTCATTCTTGCACCTGTTTCAAAGTGCAGACTAAGCTCAAGCCCACACTCCATCAGAGCTCGTGCTGCTGGGTGTGCAAAAGCCTTTCTCTGTAGTGGATCACGAGCAGATGTGCCTGTGGCTGACTGCAGTAAAGTGTTTGTGTATCACTACAAGTTAGAGGAAAGCTTTTAGTATTTTAATGTGTTGATAGCCAATGGTGTGTGTGCACAGCCCTGGAGTTGTGTGCTGGGCTGACTGAAGGGAAGCAGCACAAGCAGCTCATGCAGGACAGTGAGGGCAGTGGGGGAAGTTGGGGAGGTGCAGAACAGGTTCTAAAATGCCTGGGGAATGCTTTTGAACTTGGGGAAGGTATTAGGGACGCTGTTGGTTCTCTTCATACTCGGTGGGGGTATGTATTAGTCTCATTGTCTTTTTTCTTTCCTAGACACTGGTTCCAATACTGCAGAATGAACAGAACTGTGGGTCGTCTGCAATATTTTCTGTTAATATGCAGCACTTTCTGGAGAGAAGCATGGAAAGGGACTGCTCATCCTGAATTCTTGTGGTGCAGATGTGAGTTAATCCATACTAGAGAGCGTCACAGAATGACAGCAGAAGAAATACCTGTAGCATTTCTTCAGTTCACTTTATAGGGCATGAATACAACATTACTTTTTTTTTAAAATTACAACAGATACTGTTGCCTTTTTTGTTCAAAATAATTTCTGTAATAAACTTTTATTTAAAAACTTTTGAAAGAGTGATCATTGCAAAACGTTGTTTAAAAACAATCATTAATATAATATATTTTCCCCAAATTTTCTAAGTTCTGACATTAACTTGGTAGCACACAATCTCTTTGGCTCTGACCTTGTTTCTGGGATGGTGTTTGTCCAGGTCCCGGACCTGTTCCTTCTGTGGAGGTTGTTTCAGTTCACTGAAGGAGGGGGGAGCAAAGGGAAGTTAATGGAATCTAGTGTCAGTGTTCTTTCTGCTTTTTGTTGCTTTGCTCTCCATAACTTTCTTGCCACTTGCTATTTTTTTGTTTGAATTTCAGCTAATCCTGCCGAGTTCATATCATTTATGTCCTTTGTGGTCCTGGAAGATTTGTTGAACTTACACCTGAAAGTGTGAACTGCACTTTGTTGTTCCAAGCTATTGTAATACCCAGCAGAGCACAAATCATCTCACGGGCTACAGTACCAGCATATTTGCTGCTGCCTGTTTGGTTCTTCTTTGCCTGTGTGTTATGGACTGATTTGTTTATTCATTTATTTTGTTGATTTTCTTCAAGAAAGTTGCTTCCACTTCTCAGCAGCAGCAAGAAAGTAAAAGATAAACCTTTACACCTTGATGTTGAGCTGGAATGGATGTTTCTATTTAGAAAGTAAATTAACTAAAGGAGAGTGAAGAAAAGGGAAGGATAAGGAGGGGCCATGGGTGACCTCCTGTTTAAACATGGTTTCCAAGAAAAAGGATTTTGTGCATTTCATAGGTGTGCAAACCAGGATGTTCCCTGGTGTGAGCTGTTTGCTTACAGGGGTGTTAATACCTGCCTTCAAGTGTTATCACAGACACACAGAGTAAAGGGAGAGCGGGAAGAATTTATGATGAATTTCCAGAAGACAAGTTTAATCAGGATCATGATGTACTTTTGCACAATGACTTGGCACAGTGAGACAGACTGAAGTTACAATCTGGAGCACAGATACTGCGTTTAAGGGTCTCAGCAGCTTAGGAGGGAGGATTTCAGTTAAAGTACTGCTGACTTGGTTTTGCTTTTCTGAAGTCTGAAGCTTCAGGGTGGGGAGAAAAGTAGGAGAAGTGGAAAATAGTTCACTGAGTCTCATTAGTGTTTTATGGTCACTCTAATGGCAAGAAAAAAGACACCCCAACACTGCTCCCTGAATCAGTTTTGCTCATGACTGCAAATACTTTACTGGTATTTTGTTCACATTATTTGTGTTTGCTTCTCATTTCTTCTGAATTTATTACCTATTTTCCCCTGAATTCATTTTAATTGACCCACCTTTTTATTATAGGACATCCCAGAGATAATCATGTAGAATATGAAAGAAATCCAAAGCAAGAAGGAAATAGAGCCTCCTAACTAGAGTTAAAAAGAGCTGTTTGTGGACCTGCTGTGTCAATATGTATTAAGGCAGATGGAGCTCACATAGAGTTGTTCTTGTAAAAATAAAGTGAAAACCACTTGGAAATAAAACATAAATTAAAGCCAGGTTTAAACCAGAAAAATAAGTCTGGTATTAGATTTCAGAATTACAGTTTCATCCTCCTCCCATGCATATCTTGAAAGGTAAATTTGAAACATATTTCCTCCCTAAACAACTGGGGGTTTATTTGAAGTACAGGTTGTTGGTTAACAATTGTAGACAGAAGCATTAGATTTTCACTAGACAAAGCTAATATTTGTGATAGGATTGTATTTCCAATTTGGACAGCCCATTATTTCACTGATGAAGTTCATATGGGGTTTAAGCTATTTTTGGAGGTGACCCTGTAATCTGATGTGCTAGTGCTACCTTGGGCTGGAGCTGGTCCTACTCTATTGCAAGTTTATTCTTTTTTCAGTTCTGCAACCAACCATGGCAAGTTACATGATTTCTCTGTGCTCTGTTGCAAACTTCCTGAGATGCCAGATATCTTATTCCTAAGATACTTTGAGATCTCTGGAATGCAAAGTTCTCTATTAGAGATGAGTCGTATTTTTTATTGCCATTTGTAATGTTAAGGAGACAAATATTTTTTCTTTTCTGTATCACTGCTTTGACATGTGACTGCACTCATGAATCTGACATTTCTAATGTCTTTGGAAGAGGAAATGCTGAGAACATTCCTTTGTAAGAATCTTTTTGTCTTAGTTCACCTTTAGAATTTGGGAGTTGGCTTGTTCTTTCAGAAGAAATTAAGTCCCTACTAAAAGGAGGTGAGTTGAAAATAAATTTGCACAAGATGGCCTTTGTTTTTGCAGCCAAATCATCTGAGATGAATTGTGAGTAATAACACCCTCAAACCCAGGAAATTGTCTTTGGATCAAGGAAATTGGATGTGATCATAGAACAGATTTGAAGTGGCACTTCCCCCCCCCTCAGATCTAAATACTTGTCTCTGTCTCCATCTGTAACATTTTTGTGTCAGGGAAGTATCTGTCAATAGTAGATGAAACACTGTTATTATAACAGTGTATACAAGCAATACTTCATGCTTCTGAGCTGAAGAAGTTAAACATATTTACAAAGTGAAGGGGTTAAAAATGACTGTTAACAAATCTGTAAGTAACTTGTAAGTATATATCTTACATATATTTGCAAAATAATAGAGAGGTCCCTCATTCAATAATCTTTCACTATTTCAGGCTGGGATTCCTTCCACCCCCCAAACCTTTGTAGAAGGTTCTTTGAGAAATAAATTGTTTAGATCTTCTTACAGACAACCATTTCATGGATGGGTCTGGTTTTGATGCAATTCCTTAGAACTCTAAGTATGGGGATTTTTTTTTTGTCTCCATGAATGTGCACCTCTTTTTTCCGTTTTCCAAGGGAAAAAGGCAACACTTTGCTATAGTTAGAAACACAGGGACCCTGCTCTGCCTGATTTAGTCCAGAAACTTGAACATATCCCAGTCCCCCAAGGAACCCACTGGTAGCAGTTTACCATTTTGAGCTAACATATGTTAATTTAAAGTAAGTGAAAGAGCTCCAACAAGCAAAATCAGATTAGGCAGCAGGGGTTAGATGCAGTCTGCTATGCTGGGAGACTTGAGTTCTTACCCTGAGCAGGCAAAGAAGTTCTGTTTGGTCTAAAAGAATGTACTAGACATGGCACGATGCTCCAAAGGGCCACGGCAGACCTCGATGATCAGGACGGTATCTACATTCGATATCGTACTGATGGAAGCCTATTCAACCTAAGGTGACTGAAGGCCCACACCAAGACCTTAAACCATCTTGTCCGGGAGCTGCTCTATGCTGATGACGCCGCCCTTGTTGCCCACACAGAAGCAGCTCTGCAGTGTTTAACATCCTGCTTTGCAGAGGCTGCTGAGCTCTTTGGGCTGGAAGTCAGCTTAAAGAAGACAGAAGTTCTCCATCAACCTGCACCTCAGGAAGTCCCCCATCATCCCCACATCACATCACCATTGGTGAATCAGAGCTCAAATCAGTCCATCAGTTTAATTACCTGGGCAGCCTCATCTCCTCGGATGGTAAGATTGATGGGGAGAGAGACAACAGGTTAGCGAAGGCATATAGTGCCTTTGGAAAACTCCATAAAGGAGTATGGCATAATAAACACGTGAAGAAAAGCACAAAGATCAGTGTTTACAGAGCCATAGTGCTGTCTACTCTTTTATATGGTTCCGAATCATGGGTCATCTACCGCCACCACCTGCGTCTCCTAGAACGCTTCCATCAACGCTGCCTCCATACAATCCTGAACATCCACTGGTCAGATTATGTGACCAACACATCTGTTCTTGAACAGGCAGCAATCACAAGTATTGAGGCCATGTTGCTGAGAACACAGCTGTGCTGGGCAGGGCACGTCTCCAGGATGAAGGACCAACCACCGCCTCCCCAAGATCCTGCTCTATGGTGAACTTGCCACCGGCTGCCGCAAGAGAGGAGCCCCGAAGAGAAGATACAAGGACTCCCTGAAACAACATCTCAGCCTTGGCCACATTGATCACCATAACTGGTCTACTCTGGCCTCTAATCAGGAGGCCTGGAGACACACCATCTATAACGCAGCTGATGCTTTTGAGAAAGCTGCAGGTTCACCCTTGAGGAGAAAAGACAATGCAGAAAGAATCGAGCCCTGCAGAATATACCATCTAAGGAGTCTTTCTGCTGTGCCTTTTGCAACCGGTCATGCCTCTCTCGTATTGGCCTCATTAGCCACCAACGCGCTGGCAAGAAACGTGGGTAGAGCCCTTCCCAAATCTTCGTTCACGAAGCCCAGCCATGACTAGACATGGAGAGATGTAACGTTGAACTTGCTGCTGAAACCATTTTTGAATTTTCTGTGTCACTGTTAGGTTAGCATAAAGCTGTAATCTCTGTAGCAAGTGTCTGCTTACATAAATTGGAAAGAGTTACCCCTGGGACCAGCAATCCTATTACTGTATTTGCTCTTTCTGAATAAACAAATGCCCAATGATACCTCAGGTGTTTATATTTGAGAACTTTCCTTATCAGTACTTGAAGTTCTTGCCAATAATGTTTGCTGTGAAATCATCATGGCATTTTAAAAATCACTACTTTACAACCAAGTTCACTTTAAAATGAGTAACAAAATTGCAATGACACACCTTTTCAAGTCAGTTATTTCGTTTTCTCCTCCTATTTAAATCAATGTTTTGAAGATCTGTGTGATTGAAGTCCTAACTTCATCTAAAAGTAGCCTGGTGCTATGGAATTGCTTCGGATATTCTTTGTATAATGCTAATTCTCCACCGTAGACCTTAAATTTATAAAGGTGAGTATGTTTACTGACAGAAAAATTACTTTACCAGTTTTTTGGTAGTATAAAGACAATGGAATTAATCCCTCAGCATAATCCCTTAGGTAGTGAGCAGCTGTTGGATTCATGGAAAGTGGCAAGCTTTAGTATAAGAAGGTGAGAAAAATACAGGTGGGTGAAATACAGAAGTTCACAAATCTTTCGGCTTTTAGAAACTTAAGAAAATAATGTGTTGGATGATTGGTTTGCTCATGTAAATGGCCACATCTACTA